GGGGCTGGGGAGATGGCTCAGTAGAATAAGTGCTTCCCAGGCAAGCTCAAGAGCCTGAGTTCAATCCCAGTTCCACAAAAAAAACAGACCACAGGTGGGGTTTTTTTTGCGGGGGAGGGTCTACAGGGTGTTCAGGGTCTCACTACTAGATCAGACTTGTAGTGATTCTCCTGTTTACAGCCTCCCAAGTACTGGGATTACAGGCGCCTGCCAGCACACACAGTCTCAATTGCTGTCTCAGCGTGCCCTGGTGGCAGGGCTGGCATGGCAGGCCCAGTGATTGAACCCCAGGCCCCTGCGCCTGCAAGCAGGCGCTTTAATCTGCTGAGCTATTTGACTGGCCCTGGTTTATTTTGGTTTTGTTTTTGTTTTTTGAGACTGGGTCTTGCAGTATAGTGCAGGCTGGCCTAGAACTCACTAGCTAGCACTGGTCTCTTAAGTCACAGCAATCCTTCTGCCTTCGCCCCTCAAGTGCTGGGATTACAGGTGTGTACAGCCACCCCCAGCCATGCAAATATTGTTGAGTGAACCTGTAAAGCAGATGCATGCTCCCACCCAAGTGGAGCTGATGCCCTAGTGTCCCTGGGCTTCCGCGAGATACAGCTCCTTCGTAGTTTCTGTCTGTACCTTGTGCCCTCCACAGAGGCAGCTGCCAGTCCTCTCTTCCCTAAGCACTTGTTTTGTTTTGTTTTCATAATTTTATTGATAAACAAATAGCAATGAGACAGTTTCAAATCAAATAGCACTTGTTAATTTGCTGCTTTGCTTCTGTTTTCTACCTTTAATTCTCTTGACTTAGCTGGAAGGGCATCACTGTTCACGTCCCTGCCTATGACTGCTATCTCTGAGCCAGGCCTGCTCAGATTTTGGGAAGGAAGAAAGGAGGACTGAGTTCATGGCAGCATGAGTTTTAAAAATGTGTTGGGCTGGGGAGATAGCTCTGTGGTTTAAGCACCTGCCTAGCAAACGCAAGGACCCAAATTCAATTCCCAGTATCACATGTTGAGCAGACCCTCCAACACTGAGTACGCCAAGCTGGCCTGAAACTGGGTGTGGTGACACACACACACCTGTAATCCCTGTGCTGGGGATGCTGAAACAGGAAGATCACTGCGAGTCTGAACTGTGTAGTGAGACCCTGTAACAAATAAATATTTTTAAAAAGTGAACTGAGTGTGGTGGCACATGCCTATAATCCCAGGATTCGGGAGGCTGAGGCAGGAGGATCACAGTGAGTTCAAGACCAGTCTGAACTATATAGGGAGACCCTGTCTCAAAAACAAGGCCAAGAAAAAGAACAGGGTGGTACATGCACTTTTATGCTGTGCTATAGCACCTTAGGCGTGACACTACATGTAGGACAGTGACCCTGTACAGCGGTGTCACCTAGTGTCGCCATAGCTAGCTTAGTTTGTGCAAGTACAGCGTACGGGGTGCCTACTGCTGACGTTGCCTGTCAGCATGTGGATGCTGCTCAGGAAGTGGTACGTATCTAGCCACATACACGTGTTCAGGGCTGCGTAGTGTCGCATTCATATACACTTGGCTAAAGAATAAAAATAAGCATACAATAAGCAGCGTTACAAGATGGGACACCTCTGTACAAGGACCACTGTTGTTTTTTGGTTTTTTTTTAAAACCTCTTACACTTTAATATATATTTCTTCCGATTTTTTTCCTAGTCATGTGACAGCATACATATAATTTAGATTTCTTTTGGAAAGTGGACTACAGTTTTGCAGTTGTTTCAGTTTTTATGTCCCGG